GTGGTTAGAGCAGCGGCGCATTGAGCGGAAGGTCGTGGGTTCGAATCCCGCCCGTGATACTAGCTTTTTCATTTCAACCAATAGCAAATGTTAATGTTCAGTTTTCACTTTTGGTTTAAATAAATTAAAATTGTTATAATTAATTACTTTTAAACCAACTGATAAATCATGTTTTACATTAGCGACCTACATTTAAAGAATATTTTCTATCGACAATCATAGAACACAACATGTGATGATTTAAAAAAAATCTAAATTTCACTTTTTATTTAATTGGTCGTGAACCAAAGTAATAGATATAAATCATCATTTTTATGTCAAGTGAAGTTGAGATGAAAAATTGGTGTGACAAGCGTGACTCGAACCCACACCGAAGTCACGATAGCTCAAGTGATAAGAGCACTGGGGTATAAAGCCGGAGGTCGGGACTTCGAGTCAGGCTTGTGACACTAAGTTTTCATCTCAACCACACTCTACATAAATTTAAATTCTATTTATTATTAAATGAGGGCAAATTCTACTTGCGATATTTTGCTTTCATTAAGGTCTGATTTAAATCAAGATTTTAATCTTGTTTTATTTACAATTTATTACATTAACTAGCTTGATTTTCCGTCAAGTTTGAAAATGTCACAAATGACATTTTACATTTTTTTTACCCCCTACCTCGTAACCAAGATATGTAGTTACAATTTGAGATGGAGGTACTAATGTCTATGCTAACATGAGAAGTCAGCCGTCTGTGTGTCGGGTTGATAAGGGCGTGACAACTCGTCAAATGCTATAGCGCGTTCTCTGATAACATCCCCTTTACTTCTTCCACTCTCCTCTCTCACGCTGATAAAACGGTAAGCTCGAGAGTCGAACACGTTTTCCACTCGGTTATACAGCACGAAATTAAGAGTATGTTTTTCATTTTGATTTCGTCATTTTTGAACTGTTCCTTCAACAGAAGAAAGGGTGAAATTTTTCGATTGGTTGTAAAATCCATGGAAATCTTTATTCGTGGAAGAGCTTATACGTTCTTATTAGCGTTACAAACTTAAACGCGTCCTAACCACTGCTGAAATCCTACCTAACAGAACGCTGCTTCAGAGTCAGGTGCGGTAATGAATTCTCGGAAATCAGACCATACAAGCCGGCGTTCCACACGGGAGCATACATGGTCCCATACTTTATATCATCTATACTGCCTACCAGACTCCCCAATACGTCATAACAAACATCCAAGAATACCTCGAGCTTATCGAAGTCGGGTGAAAAAAGTGAAGAGCAAGACTGAATGAAGAAAAATATACTCGGTGTACGTTCACATTGAAAAAAATAATCAACTAGAGAACAAAAAGTTGCTTATTTTCTGTCACCCAGGTATGCTTACAAACTTAAACTCTAATGGACCACTGCTTCAAAGTGAGATAGAGCAGCGAGTTCTCGGAATTCAGACTGATGGCGTCCCACAAGGGAGCATTACTGCTGACCTACACACCCCACATCATCATCACCTACGCAGACGAAGGCTGGTGCTTAAATTAGATAACAAGACTGAATGAAGAAAAATATACTCGGTGTACGAAAACATTGAAAGAAACAGCCAACTAGAGAACAAAAAGTATTGCTTCGGAGCGTTCTTTATATGGTTGTCACCCAGGCATGCTTTATAAACTTAAACGCTTTCTAATGGACCACAGCTTCAAAGAGAGATGGAGCAGTGAGTTCTCAGAAGTCGGACTGATGGCGTCCCACAAGGAAGCATTCTTGGGCTCATTCTCTATATTATTCTCTATACTGCTGACCTAAACACCCCAATGCCGAACATCACCACCTACGCAGACGATATCGAAACTTTGTCTTCTAACTTGAATCCTATCCAAGTTACTTCCAACACTGAAATACACTTTGAGCTTATCGAAGACTTTTGGTATTGGTGTGGTATGGGAGAAAGGATACTAGGAACCGGGGTTTGTATCCCCAGGCACTGCAGCCTTCTGGCTTATTGCACCTTCCTAGTTCCTTAGTTCAGTCAATAGACTCAATACTTCTTCTTAGAAGTATCAGGTCATTGACTGTAGCTGCTGCAATTTGATTCCCTAAGTCTTTTCCGTACGTTAGGTTAAACCTCCATTGAGCTGTTGCTTCGCATTCGAAGATGATATGGGTGGCTGTTTCCTCCTCCTCATTACATAATCTGCAAATGGGATCATCGCTGTATACACCCATGTTGTGTAGATTTCTTTTTCTCTTCTTTCTTTCTCTCTCTTCTTTTGCTCTGATGCCAGTGACCGGTTAGTAGTCCTACCACTCCTCTGAGTTTGGCCCTCTCCAATTGCAGCAGTGTTTTCGCCAGGCTCGGTGAGGGTTGTTTCATCTAAAGTTTACTATTTCTAGCACCGCTAAAGTTTATCCACTTCTCCTTTTGTTTTGCTTGTATCCATTCTGCGATGGAGGATTCTATATTTGTTTTTGTTATCTCAAGAATAGGTTCGGGGCCTATGTATGGTCTTGCAGATCCTCCTCTGGCCAGTCTGTCTGCTTTCTCGTTACCCAAAATTCCCCTGTGCCCTGCACCCAAGATATCATCAGGTTGTTGTGTTTCCCCAGGTTTTGGAGATTTTGGATGCATTCACTGACTAATTTTGATGTGATTCTTTTACATGCTCTGCTTGGCTATCTGATCTTATGAGGAATTTTTTGTCAGTGTAACCTCTTTTAAGAGTTTCCAGGGCACAAGCATTGATGGCATGTATTTCCGCTTGAAAGATCGAAGTGGACTTCCCTAATGAGTTTGATTGCTCATGTTTTGGGCTTGTATAGAAAACGCCTGATCCGGTTCCTTCGTTTGTTTTGGAGCCATCTGTGTACCATATCATTGCATCTGATGCTCTCATGTGGTCTTCCTCTCCTTTGTAGTTCGTTGAGACTTTATAGGAAGTTGTGAAGATTTTTCCGGGATCATGTAATCAGTCCCCATTTCTAATAATAGGTAACTGGTTTTGTTGATTATGGTTGTATGCCCGAAATGTTTAGTTCCTTTCCAATTTAATTGTTTCTAGAGCCTAAGTGAGCTTTTCCTAGCCTCTCCTTGTATGAATATTTCCAGGGGAGGTAGGTTTAGCAAAGTTTCTAATGAGCTTGTAGGGGTTGTTCTCATTGCCCCTGTGATACATAGGTTTGCTAGTCATTTTTGCCTAATGGTTGGGTAGCTACTTTTTGTTGAGCTTTGTTCCACCAGATTAGTGATCCATAGGTTATTCTGGGTCTTATTACTACCGTCTATAGCCAATGGGCCATTTTCGGTTTTAGTCCCATGATTTGCCTAAGGTCCTTCTTGTGGTTATTAGCGATATTTTACCTTTTGCTATAGTATGTTGCAGGTGAGGATTCCAGGTTAATTTCTTATCAAAGATTATTCCTAGATATTTGACCTCATTTTTTAATAGCAGCATTTCGTTATAGAAGCGTAATCCTTGTATTTCTATATTTCTTTTCTTGGTGAAAGCAATTAAGGTGATTTTTGAGGTGACTTTAAACCCCATTGTTCTACCAGGTTTAGTGCTCTTTGGGTGAGCTCTTTTAATGTTGAATCGAATTTTCCCCTGATTAGTATGACAATGTCATCTGCATAGCCTTGGGTGTAAATTCCACTTTCATTTAGTTTGCATATGAGGTCGTCCACTACCACATTCCACAGCAGAGGCGAGAGTATTCCTCCTTGCGGACACCCCCTCGCCGCCACTGCTTCTACTTTTTCGTGGAATATGGAGGCCTGCACTTTCCTGCTTTTTAGCATTGATTCTATCCATCTACATTAGGTTTTGAGATAACAAGACTAAATGAAAAATGTATGAACAAACATCCTCGTCCTCCACTTTACTTTAACAACAAACCGATACCGACTTCCATTTGAGTCAAATACTTAGGACTATACGTTGAATCCCCACACGAGACTTAAGGGACAGCAACTTAACAACGAAGACTTCTAGGACTGAAATCTGGCTTGACAGTCAAAACTAAACAACCCTTATTCAAGACTGCACTGCGACAACTTTGGACGTACAGAGATGAACTTTAGGGTTCTGCCAAGCCATCCAACATCCAGCCCATCCAATACTTCAAAACATAAGTATTCAGACAAATCAAAGGTACTTACTATGTTACTAACCACACTATTCACAACAACCTCAGCATTTTTTGGTCAACGAATTGATCCGTTTCCGATTCCAAAAATTTCACACCAATCTCCCGATCTAACCCAACCCTGTGATCAAGCTCTTTCTTTACATTCCCCCGAAAACCTGCCAAATCAACGATGACCTCGAGACCTCCTTGCCCCTAAATTCTCCACACTGAGCGCCATCATTAGCTGGTTTCTCGTGTATATGTTCTCCGGGTGCAGCGCTGGAATTAGTGTTAGTGCTGTGACCTTGTGAAAAAAAGTTCTGTGATCACATTTGTAATAAGTAGAAATATATAAATGCTACAAAGAAAATTTAAAAAAAAGTTATTTTTTATGCTTAATATTAAGAAATGAAGTTAGAATATGTTATGCATAAAAATTGGATTGATTTAAGTTAGGCTTTAAAGAATATTTGTATTTTATTATACCAGGATGATTTCTCTTTATACTGTATTACGCTATTTTTCAAAAAATTTACAAAAACTCTTCGATAGAAATATAAGTTATAAATGAATTTTTTAGTAATTTTCTTCACTGTTTTTGGCTCTTTTATATTGCAAACGGAAACCGACGGCTAAAAATTACCCGTTCGCCGATGCCATACCGACAAATATTGACAATTAATCACCCAATTTTAAACATTGAATATGCTCAGAATAAATCCAGGGAGAATTTAGCAAATATTAATTCAGGCCAATGTTTCATCGTGGCGCATTCATACATTCTTAATTTCAAAAGCTTTACTCGTATGTGTTGATATTTTTACTTCGCTGTAATTAGCGATAATTCTTGTATATTGTGTGTAATTTTGTATTTTTTTTTTCAGTTTGCAATTTCGCAGTGCACGATCGATGCATGAAGACAGTTGTCTCCCCTTGCTCCAGTATCGCCCCATACCTGATTAGGGTGAGTATTATGCTAAACTATATATCTATTTTTGTTTATAATAGAATATATTTATTGAAAATCTTTAAAAAAATGCATTTAATTTTTAAGACATGATTCCCAACCGAAGGTAATAGAAAAATTAAATACTTTGTTGAAACGTTTTGAATTTTGATGATAACTTTTTCATCGAGATTATGTAAAGAGATCACGGAAAGTTTTTGCATTATCCTTCCATCGAAACTGTATTCAGAAACAGCACTATTACTACTGCTTTGCGTAATGTATTCTGTGTGGGTTGTGTTATTAAGGGGAGGGTAGTAATCTATTTCTTTCTGCAAGGAGCCATCTGTTGAATCAGAGCAATGTACATATAATTTCAGTCAGTTTTCAAAAGTTAACAGTGCAATTTTCAGGCCTTAGATTGCCGTATGTGATGTTGATAGTGTGACTTTATGATAAAAGTATGAATTAGGATTAATAATATGCGGATATCTTAGACGGATTGGTTTTTCGGTTATGCAACTACCTCAGGGTCAAATTGATTCTTCTTATTCTACTTTTTTTATTTGATATTTGGGTCAAGTGTTAATTATGTGTGGTAAGAATTCGCGATGTTGCTTCGGCTGTTTCGCAAGAGGGTCCAATGTTGTGTTCCCGAGGGTAGGGCTGCCCCTAACCCCGGAATCGATCCACCCCTCTCACAGTCTCTTGCTTGCTGCTCCCATAGCAACTGCCCCCTCTTTCACCATTTTCTCGCAAAAGCCACCCTTCCCTCTCATAACTACGAGGAATTCGACACAAGACATTTTTAAACTTTCTCCCCATTCTGAGGGGGGCCCACATTCTCCTCGTCGGACTCATCCCTTCGCTCTCACACACCCTCTCTCCTCTCACTCGCTCTTTCTCTCCCGCTGCAGAAACTCTCCTCGAGTTGCATTCGTGCTTAAACGTTGGGGGTGGAAAGTTCAATAAATAACGGCTTCCAGACCATCCGGGCTGCAATAAACGCTACATCGTGGGCTACTCGATGTAGGTTAGAAGCTGAAAGGTCGTGTATCATCACGTGACCTACTGGTTGAATCATGCTATAAATAGCTTTAGGTTAGAAATTCCATTTTATAGGTCACAGATTAGCGTATATTTTTATTTGTTCTGTTGACCAGAAATAGTGCCGTCTACCGTTCAAAAATCAAACAGAAAAGCCCTTTTCCTCCCAGAACAAATAATAATAAAAAATTTACAACTTTCTGAAAGATAACATGTTACTTAGCAAATTTCTATTACCAAAAGGACAGCTATTTGTGTGTAACATCGATAGTTGAACTTAAACCTAATTCCAGGAAATTCTCGTACCGAACTGCTAACCTTGAGTATCAAATAATTCGATAATCGATGGATTTTTTCTTTTAATTCACACTTTAATATATAAATAAAAGATAAATCGATCTTATTTTTTAAAATTACAAATCCTTTACATGAAACTGGATACTTTTAAATTTAAAACAGATGAAGAGGACGAGCGGGTAGCACCCTGAAATAGATCCATGTAAAATAATAAAAATATTTTTATGAAATTGTGTTTTGGTTGTCTCCTTCTATGGAATATAATAAATAATAAGATTTTTTTAAATTAAAAGGCAACCTATTGAAGAAAAAATAACAACAATACTATTGTCAGACAGCCATCAGGCAATGAATAATACGCATTTTTAAAAAAAAGTTCTATTTTGTTTCAAATTTGTGCTTATTTTATTAACTCCTTCGAGAAACCCTAATAAACCATTTTTGTTTGTTAATCTTCTAACAAAATCCTGATCTTACTTGCATAAAGAAAAATTAACGAACACTACAAGTCACTAAGATTTAAATTATATAGAATTATACAAAAAACTCGAAGAATTAGAAATAAATTATAAGTTAACATATTAATTGTTTGCATGGCACTTATAGTAAAATATCATTCAAAAATTTGGAAATAAAACAATTAATGTTGGTCGTTTCACCCACCCCCCGTTTTAAAATGCATTACGAAACGGTTTGATTATTTTTATAAAAAATTAAATGTTATAAAATCACGAGTTTAAAGTAATTTTTCGCCATTTATTTGTCAATTTTTCAACTTCAGAGGTCAGGGATGCAAGCAGGTTTGTCACCTAGTAGACTTCGCAATATTTCATAAAATATTATTAATATTAATTGAGCAAGACTATTCAAAATTAAACCCTTTTCTATCAGTTGACTTTGAAGAGGGGAGGTCATACATTTTTTAAAACTTTCTTTTGTATGTTAATTTATTCATCCAGTGGTACGATTTTCCGAATTTAGTTTGTGTTAGGGGCAGGAAAACATTTCTGAAAAACAAGTTGGACAGATGCAAGATTTTGTAAACGATTCTTCGAACTCGAACCTATCAAGCTGCTGGAACACAGTCAATCTCAAATCCTTAGGATACACTAAAAGCAGAAACATCGAAAGTTCTTTCCTATTAAATCTTGTGCCAGGGAGACAAAAAATAAGACGATTCCGCTTCTGAGCAAAGCTCGTGCGAGAAAAGTTAATAAAAAGTGAATATTTCGTGTTTATCGCTTATGGTGACAGTTGCTTTCACACGGATTTTTGAGAAATCTCAATTGAAAATGTTAAAGATCCGTCTTATTAAAAACATTGTGACTCAAACCACTTTCCAAGCAGAATAGACAATAAGTAAGTTAGTAATGGTTAAAAGATTGGAAATAATTACATGAACCTTTTCAGTTTTGATACATTTTACTCCCTTTGTTATATAGAAAGCTTAATAAAGTTAGTGTGTAACTGAAAATAAGCAGGAGGGTGAGCCCCCCAAAGTAGAGAATGTATAAACTAAAAGCCATTGAGTTAATTACTTACTCCCTCATTCCATTTGAATATTTTAAAAATCTTGTTGAACATAAATATAATTTTATTAAGACATTTACATTCCAGCGTTCTGACAACTGTACATGAACAATTCAAGCTTTTTGGTATACTTTCTGTTTAAAAAAATTAGATAAACATATCAGTTGCACAAATGCCAAAAACTTTTCATAAAGTCAGATTTTTAATTAAATATTGGATTATTTGATAAAACAACAAATTCTAAAGCCTAAAAAGTACTCAAATCGTGAAAAATATTGGAACTTGATCTACTTATTCTCATTCTTTCCATTTAAGCCCATTTCTGTTGTGTCAAATGTGGACGATTCAACCTTCTTATAACCCTGAGTAATCCCTGAAGACAAAGAAATTCTTGACTGACAAAATCAAGCATAACGTCCATACTCTTCCGGTAGATACTTCTTTTGAACCCATGCTTTTATAAAAGTACATTAAATTTTTTGTGCTTTGGCTAATGGTGTAACATAAAGAGGAAGGGCTTAAAAGACTATCATGTGCAATTCTTTTAATTGTTAAGTTTTGCAATTTTTACTATTTTTTTGTGAAAAAGTAGTTGTGTTATATTGATAGAAATTTTGCTTCATTTTGTTTGGTTTTGCTAAAGAAAACTTGAAAAAAATGAAATTGTCGGCCTATTTTCACCAAAATTTTGTATTGTTTTCAATGATTAATCAGTGTTAATAGTAGGCAAGACACTGACTACATCCATTTAGGTGAATTTTTCCTGTGTAAAGTGTGGATGATGACCAGTACATTGTTTTGTCTTCAGCCTGTTTATAACCCTAGCCAACCACTAGCAGGAGTTAAAATGATGAAACAATCTGCATAAGATTAGAAAGCCAAACAGCCCTAAAAGCATTAGAACATAAAAATGTCATATCCCAAAAAGTAGGTTAATACACCCAAAAGCTCCAAAACCTGGGAAAATAAAACCTGACAATATCTAGGATGCCATGGTACAAAGAAATTCTGGGTGATAAGTTGGCCAGAGAAGAATTGCAAGACAATATATTGGCCCAGAACCTATAGTTGGGATAAAGATCAAACATCTCCATTTTAGAATAAAGTGAATGTTCGTCCAGAGATTGACTCACGATTAAAAAACACTCACAAAAACTGACAAGCACACTACTACAGTTAGACAGGGTAAAACTTATAGGAGTGATAAGGTTATACACACTGGCAGAATACTACATAACTATATTCGACAATGATCCCATTTGACGTTTAGGCAATAAAGAGGAAGAAACTGGCACACATATTATCATCAAATATGAAGCCAATGGAGATATGACGTAGGGTACCAAAAAGACCTGGAAAAAAGAATAACAACAATGATAGTCAATGAACTACTACTTAAAAAAAAAAAAAAGAATCGGGTCAATAGAACTGAACTAAGGTACTAGGAAAAATAATAAACCAAAAGACTGCAGTGCTTGGTAAATATCAAACCCCCACTTCCCGGGATACACTTATTGTCATAATCATCCTCAACCATCAGGAAATTGAGAAATTCTGCATTGAGTCTGACATACAAAACCAGCGGGAACAGTGTATCAACTATCTACATACAAAAAAGGAAGGGGTTAATAGTCTAATGTTAGTAAATCATTTTACTGCGAAGTTTTTAAAGTGTGAAAGAGTCTATTGTTAGGAAATTTCCAGCAGTTTTGGTTTTAGTTAGCTTTTGCTTAAAACAATTTATGATGAAGTTTCCTGCATTGTTTGTTTTATGTATTTTGGCATTTTGTCTTTTTCAGTGATTGGTCAGGGTTATTAGCTGGCGAGACTTCTTCCATTTGTGCAAAGTTTGCTTCTAAAATGTAGATGATGTACAGGAAGGTTGTTTTGTCCTCAACCTGTTTATTTCCCTGATATGGAGAATGCTAAAATGTGTCTGTGTGAGGTTCTCCTTCTTTTTAATCCATACTTCCTAGTATCCTTTTAACATCATCATCAACAACACTGCCTGCTTATAACCATGATGAACAACTGAAGTTGGCAACTGTTGTAAGTAATGAGTCTGCTTCACTGCAATGATGATTTCAATTAAAATACAAATCATCACATAATGTAAAAACCGGACTTTTAACTAATTTTTGTGCAATACTTAATTTTTTTAAATCCTAACTTAATGAAGTTAAATCTTAATTACAAGATTTTTGTGTTATGGATTTAATAGTAATTGTAAAAAAAATCTAATACTAAACCCGCAAGACCGCCGAGTCTTGCAAAACTGTATTTTACGCCTGCAAAGCTTTAATGAGGCTATTATTTCCTTAGAATTTGAACTGTCATGTGATCTTATTTATACGTTAAATAAGTGATCGTAGTTACATCAAGTTAAATTGTATATTTGATGTTCAGTGAAGGTTTGCTAAAAAAAGTTATAATGAAATTATCTACTTGTCTTTCTTATGGATTTTGGCATTTGTCCTCTTCAAAGAGTGGTCAGGGTTATTATCTGGCAATTATGGTTATTACCGACACCTTCCATATTCCAAGTTTTGCCTATGTAAAATGTAAATGATGTTCCGATGGTTGTTTTGCCCTCAACCTCCTTATTCCCTTGATATAGAGAATGCTAAAATGCGTCTGTCAAGCAACCAGTGAAAATAATGTATCAATGCACATACTGGAGGCCCTCCTTCCCTTTAATTCATACTTCCTAGTATCCTCCAACCATCATCATCAACAACACTCTGCTTATATTGATGAACAATTGAAGTTGGCTATCTGCCAAGTCTGACTGATGAGTTTGCTTCACTATAATGATGATTTCAATCAAAGTACAAATCATCATATAATTGAAAAATCGCACTGGTAACTAATTTTTATGCAATACTCAATTTTTTTTCAATCTTAACTAAATAAAGTTAAATTTCATATTACAAAATGAGTGTATTATAGATTGACTATAATAATTGAAAAAATAGACTAATACTAAACCCGCAAGACCGTTGAGTCTTGCAGAACTGTATTTTACGCCTGCAAAACTGACGAGGTCATAATTTTCTTAAAATTTTGTTCTTTTAAATTTTCATTTTATATATCTTATTTTTGAAATGTAATTGAATAAAATTTGAACTGACAATGATATTTTATTTGTCCGTTAAATGATTGGTGGAAGTTACTTAAGTTAAATCGTATATTTGTCGTTTAGTGAAAGATTGTTAAAAAAATTATTTTCAATTATATAAATGCCTGTGCTTGATAAACTCTGCGGTTATCAGAGACGAGAAAACATTGGTCACGCAACGTTTGTGTAAACTACGAGCGAACAAGCAAACACTCCAAGAAAAGGAAGCCTCCCTTTAACAAGGTTGTAAATAAATATAAATGTCAGAGAAATTTGGTTTATTCATAAACAAATTACATTTGGTGTTGTTATATAGAATGGTAAAAGTTATGCTACTCTGCTACAAATAAACCCTTATACAACTAACGCACTAAAACAAAACTGACGTGTTTTGTTGCACAACTGTTTGGGCTGGGTACGATTTATTTGTGATTCCCCTCCTTAAGACGTACATTTTCTTACGCAGTTTAGCATTGATATAATACATCATAACACTAATATTGCACTTGTGTGTAATTTTGTTTTGTTAGTTCATTTTCTTTTTGTGTCTAACTAGCCAAGGCAGGATGGTTAGGCCGACCAAACTGATTTGAAACGGCCAAGCTACTTCATCATACTTGTTTTCTCCTTTATTGATGTTTTGAAGATGTTACAATTTATTTTAATTAAATATATCTTTTAAAAATGATCAGTTGTTATAGAAATTTTGGAAAAGGCTAAATTTTAGAAAGTTGAAATAAGTATTGATGATCATGCTGGTAGACACTTCTTCTTTTTAATCCTTCATAAGAACAAAATATAATTTATTTATTATATAATAATCAACCAGCCTTATAAGGAAGAATCTAACATTAGCAGTTGGTAAAATGTGCTGAGGTATTGTTTTACCTAACGAAATTCACTGCAGTGAAGTAAGTTAAGGTTTAAAAAAGCTCATAGATTGCTAAACAGTAAATAGACCAACCACTGAAGATGGGAAAATGCAGACCACATTATCAGGAATGATCTAGCATATAATTTTTAGCAGAAAAATTAATTTAGAATGATACAACAATAAACAGCATTTGCATAATTTGCTCTGACATTTAAATTTTTTAGTTAGGGATTACAATAAGCCAAAAAAATGGATTTATGTATTTAAAATTGGACCAGCACTGGGTCCGCTACACTCCCAGGTTTTTGATGTTACTGTAGCGTATTTCAGTGACATCAAAAACCTGCACGTGTAGACAGGCCCAGAAAGTGATCCTGTGTCGGTTCAACATGTGTTATCTGAATCGCAGACCAACATCAATGATCAACTTTATTTAAATATTAAGATCTAGAAAATGAAGGGAATGACATGCTTCAAAAAATATATTCAATCATGTTAACAATATAACTGAAGTCTTGATCACTTTGTGATTTGAAATACATTTGATATTTTATTTAGAGATAAGAGGCAGTGTTCACTTCTATTAATCTTAGGTTGTTTCATGTACAATTGGAAAATTGAACAAATTTAAGCGGCATTTTAACAATGGAATATGCAAAATTATTTTAGAAGGGCATTTTGAGGATATGGATGTTTACATTTTGAAAATAAATACGTGCATTACCCATAGCTGCATTACACAAATAACAACTTCTAATTATTATGAAAGCTTAAACAAGTATTTATACGAGTGTTCTTTTTTTAATGTTAATATTTGAGAATATTATCAAAGCGTTTCACTAAACTGAAGACGCCTGGCCCAAGGCCAAAATTCTCATGGCCTTTCATTTCACAAATGTTGCTTTCTGAATTCGGACATATTACATAAAAGCGTCTGTCATATAAAATTGGGTCATGAGAGGCAAAAATAGTTGACAGGATTATAGGTAAAAGACCTGTTTGTTTATATTATAAACCATTTCCTTAAAGAAAACATTTTGGAAATCTTTTTTTAAATATTCAATTTTTTTTCCAGAATCCAGTAGCTCATTGCTGGTCTGAGCCGACTCATCACAAACGGAAGTTCTGCAACGTCTGTCGCAAAAGATTAGATGATTGCTTGTCGACACACTGTGAAAGTGAGTTTAATTTATTTTTAAAAAAGTTGCCAATGTTTAGAATAAAGAAAAATGTTTATTTAATGAGCATAATTAAGTAATTATGTTGAAATAACACATCCTTTGAATTTGCATACTTATTGCTGTTCCTTTACTAATGAAAAATTCTCAACCAACTAAAAGTACTACTGCTTTCAAAATTTAATCATATGTTGATTATAAAAAAAATTATTAATTGAGCATTGGATGTCATAATGTACATAATCAAAAATAAAAACTGCTTGAGTCTTTGGGGCCCTGATTCCAATTTTTTTAGTAAAAGGGATGTTTTATTGTTTATAGTACTTTGATAAATATCTCATTTTGTATTTCTTATTATGTATATTGGGAGTGAATGTATTTATTAGATTGAAAGTATTGTGAGAGAATGATGGTGGTATATTGAGCCCCATTGACCCTCAATTAAATTAGTTATATTATAGTATGTGTAAAGAGTGATGAAGGAATGTTGAATAATTTACCACCCTATCGTTTGTAAGTATGTAAGAATGAAGGAGAGTGTGAAATGACTAGGATTAAAAACTTCATGTGTTGGAGGCTCAAATGTTGACAGCTCCTGGAGGCTAACTTAGGTGGCAAGGCAGATAAGACCGAGGTATATGAGTGTGTATATATATGTGCAGAATTGATCATATACAGGAGGGCTTAATGTTCAACTACCCAACTATTTGGAAAATTTTTTATATTATTCACAATTAAAAATCTATGGACTTTGCCAGGATTCAAACCCAGGACTGCAGTGTGGCAAATACAAGTGGGATGCCCTAACCAATCCACCACTGCGGTCCTGGAAATGAGCTTATATAAATCAATCAATTTAATATAACCCTGATAACTAGATTAGATTAGATTAGATTGGAGCTGGCCACTTTATGATCTGTGCACCATGGCCTGTATTAGTCTATTGTGCATCTCCATTTTTTATCTAGAGCTCCTCATTATGCTTGAGGCTTTTTACCAGACAACAAAGCTTTTTCAAGGGCTCCCATGAGTATCCATCAAGCGCTGGCTTTTCCTCTCCCATGATTAACAATCTCAGCACCAACAGAGGACGTGATCCGCTGTTTCTCCTTCTTCTTGGCAGTATCTGCACAGGCTTGTTTCTGCCACTCTGAGTCTGTAAATATGCCTCCGGAGTCTGCAGTATTCAGTTAGCATTCCAAATTTTATTATAGTCCTAGCACATCCTAGATTTAGTAGTTCTGCTGTTACTTTCTGCGTTGGTCCTTTGGTAGGCTTTTTCACGTGCCTACAATCTGGGCTACATTCCCATTGAGTAGAGGACTTATGGTTGGTTTAGCTCAATGCGGATAATTCATCTTATTGATGTTCCTAGCATACCTGCTCATATCCCGAATAAAAAATATAAAGTTCCGATGTCTTTGTGGTTGGTTGATATAAGTCATTTAATCATAAATAAGGTGGCTGAATATTAGGCCATAAATTGTAAATTTGTTAATCCATTGTCTAATGGATCCGTGTTTGTGTTGTCCTCATTGAACCCTGATAACTAGACATCATCTTATTTGCTGTGGTTGTGATCTAATTGTTTTTTTTTTTTTTTTTTTTTTTTCAGTTTGTGAGTACTTTGTCCATCCTGAGTGCCAAGATTTTGCAGTCGCTGATTGTAAGGAAAATGCCACCTACCTTCCTGGTAAAGAGCTCTCTCTTGTACACCATGAACACCACTGGCGTGAGGGAAACTTGCCTCCAAACTCAAAGTGTGTTGTCTGCAAGAAACAGTGTGGTTCACTCGAATGTCTTTCCGGCTTCAGGTGTGAATGGTGCGGCATCACAGTGAGTATTGTAGCGAACTCGGTTCAGTAATGTTTACAGCATGATTCTGAATGTCGGATGTTCTTAGTCTCATGCCGGGTGCCGGAGAAATCTTCCGAGTGAGTGCCAATTTGGCAATCTTGAGCCAATATATCTTCCACCGCATGCTGTTAGCATACCACGCACCGAAGTTCCGATGGAGGCTATAATCGGGGTCCAAGTCAGAAGAAAGGAGGCGATGTCTCGTAAGTTTTCATTTTTCAGATCTAGTCTGCATGCTTGTAAAAATTGTAGGAAAGGGCCATCAGGTCATGAATTTAAATTCAGATGAATTGCTTATAGCACGAAGTATCTCCGAAGAATTTAGCAGTGGTGACAGTAGATATCAGGACAACGAAGAATGTGTACACCCTAGGGAAAGAAAAGAGAAAGAAGATCGTGATGAAGGTGACCTTTCATTTCTTGTCCTCCGTTGGTTAATTTACCTTTGTACTCATGAAAATAATTGTTCAGAAGTAATCAAAGTTTATGATGGGAACAATTCAGTTAGACGAAGAATATTTAGAACGATTACAGTGTCACGACTTGCTAGTACTGAGCATGTCCTTACCCAAGCTCTTAGAGCATTCCACATCACTAAAGATTCTTGTAAGTATTAATAATCCATTTGTTAAATTGTCTTAAAAACTAAATCTACTGTTTTGCTGTTTATTTTACAGCAAATTTTTTCTTGACGGATCTTTATGCAAACTACGAAATTCCATTGTTAGACCCTAGTCCTATCCAGAGTTTAACAAGGAGAGAAGGAAAAAGGCCTGCAGTCTTCCTTCGTTTTAAGTAATTTCTTTATTCTTTTTTTTTATGTTAAAAGTTAAAAAATAAAACGTTTTTACTGAACTTTCTGTTCTTACAGGGATAGTGAATGTGGAGAGGTAAGAGTATATCCAGGAAAACTTCAAGTAAGCCAACCTTTTTGCACAATTCAAGTAACTGCAAGTACAACAATAACCGATTTAATCCGTGAAGCACTTATTAAGTTTGGATTAGTGAATCTTAATCCTGATGACTTTAGACTGAGCGAAATTTTGTTAGATCGAGGAGGTTTGTATATCATAACACTATATGATGACATATTTATTTTTATTAATTCTTTTGGTTAATTTTTAGTTTCAGAAAGAGTATTGGCAACAGATGAAAAGCCATGGGACATAATGAAAGCCTTAGGTACAGATTCGATCCGTCAGATGGAACTCATGCGGTTCTACCTGCAAATGAAAGAAGACCCGCATGGCCCAAATTTGGCTTTATTTGTTGGCAACCTCCCGCAATATCTTGCACAGAAAAACTACGAGACCATTCTAACTGAATTCCTTGGAAGAGGTATATCTTTTATATCGTGTAGACAAAATTTTGATTGAATTTGTTTAATCTGTACTTTTCATTTACAGAAAATAAGTTTTCCTCTATTGGTCCAATTTATTATGAATACGGATCAATGGTAATCGTCTATGAAGATGCTAAAAAGGCTGTGAAAGCATTGTATACACTTAGAGAATCTTCTCACGAAGAAAAACAACTGTTAGGTAATATTAAACTTATTTTATATTCTATAAAAGATTAATCCAAATGATGAAGCACTCCCAGCACTTTTTTTTATAAAGTTTCTATTTAGTATTTAAGTCTCATGCCAGTTATGTTCACTATTGTTCTCTGTGATCAGTTCATGAAGCAAGAAATACTATGATTATGCCACTATTAATATTTTAAAAAATTATACTCTAATAAAAGTTATTGATTTGATAATTTAAATCATTTTACTTTTCTTTTTGAATTTATATTGTGGCATTGTTAATTGTTGCACAATAATGATAACCCAGTTTGTTTCCGTTGGTAATAATTGTATATTGACATTTCTTAATTTAGTTATGCTTCTTCCAAACATCGAACCAAGCATGGTGCCTGTAGGAGTTCAACCGCTCTTGGTATTTGTCAACGTTAAGTCAGGTGGCTGCCAAGGGTTGGAGTTGATTACGAGTTTTCGTAAACTTCTCAACCCTTATCAAGTATTCGATCTGGACAATGGAGGTCCCCTCCCTGGGTAAGTAAAAAAAAGAAAGAAAAATATAATTTTGTTTTAAATTAACAATAAAATTACATTGGCTCTTTTTGTTATTAGACTGTACGTTTTTCGCCACATCAAAGATTACAAAATCTTAGTTTGTGGAGGAGACGGGACAATCGGGTGGGTCCTTCAATGTCTTGATAATGTTGGACAAGATAGCGAATGCAGCAGTCCACCTTGTGCAATCGTACCATTAGGCACAGGTAAGTTAAAAATAGAATTTTAATTTGAAAATTTGTATTACGCGAATTATATATTAAAAAAAACATTATTTCAGGGAACGATCTCGCTCGAGTGTTGAGATGGGGGCCAGGCTTCACCGGAGGCGAGGATCCTATAAACCTCCTCAGGGATGTTATAGACGCTGAAGAAATCCGACTTGATAGATGGACTGTAATCTTTCATCCAGAGGATAAAAGCGAAGATAAGACTCAACAGATTTCAAATTCAACAGGTCAGTTTTAAAATTAAAAGATTTTATAATCAATTTCCCACCCATTTAAAATGACAGTAGTACAGCTTTAATCACTGTACATCCTCATAGATAGTTTAAAACCTTTGCTCACATAAAACACTTTCTGTAATAGCACTCAATCCTTTATATATTAATAGCAAATGTTTTCTTTTCTGAACTTATTTTGTAATTGAGCTAAAGTGCTTGTATGTAATATTGTACCTTATGTGATCATTACACATCCTTTCTTATTTTGTATTGTAGTTATGCTGCTGGAAGTTCATAATTCATGTAGATTTAATTCATTGTGTAATTCTTATACTGTTAATTTTGAAAATATACAGGTATTTCTTAAATTATTGAAGCAACAAGATAATCTCTGAACAAATTAACAAAAATTTACAATTTGTCTATATTTATAATAATTAATTTTGCTCATGGTTGGACTCAATAATCATTGTCAACCTATTCTCAGCAAGATTATGAAAAGATTTTATGTTGCTGCAGCATCAATTTTGTAATTTTAATTAAAGCTCAATATTTTTTCATGATAAATAAGATTTTAAAAAATGCACAATTTAGCCAGTCATTTTGCATTTGTCAACTGCTACCAGAAAAAGTGAAGAAAAAAATTGTTATTAACTTGATTTATGTTTTCTAAGGTGTTTTTTGTTATTACTTCTTTATGCCCGACAGAACTTATTCCCTTGATGGATAATTGGAAATTTCTGTAATGGCAAAAATAAGTGCCTAAATTTGAGATTTTTAAGAGTAACAGGTAGGTTTTTTTTAATGGAAATTTTTTGTTTTTAATGAACATTCCAGAGCCTAGATTTTAGGTTTGTACACGTAACTTATAATTTTTGCTGGTAAATCAACTGAATAGCACAGGTAGTACACTTTCAATTTTATTTTGTTATATTTTTTTAAAAATTAACATGCTTAAATTTGTGTCTAAATATTAGAAAATTAGTAGTTTTAGAAAGCACTGTATATTAAATTGACACTTCTCCTTTAAAAACTTTCTAAAATAAAGATTAAATGTAAAAAAAAATTAAATTTTTTTTAAAATCTTTTTATTTTAAATCTTTTTATTTTCTTAGTACAAAATCTGGGCTTTTGGGGATTTGGGGTTTTATCACTGTGCAATGCTAATGTGTTCTTAGGTACAGGGTCAACAAGCGAGGAAGTATCGACAGTTATGGTCATGAACAACTACTTTGGTATAGGGATTGATGCAGATCTATGTTTAGATTTCCACAATGCCAGAGAAGAGAATCCAAACAAGTTCAATAGCAGGTAATGTATCATTCAAAGTGCTATATATCTCCATTTACGTTTTAATAATGCTTTTTTTATTTTTTTTAATTTTATTTTTACAGACTCCACAACAAGGGTGTCTATGTGAAAATGGGTCTTCGCAAAATCGTCGGGCGAAAATTATGCAAGGATCTGCACAGGGAAGTGAAACTGGAAGTCGATGGAAAACTAGTTGACCTCCCGCCTGTTGAAGGCATTATTATACTAAACATTTTAAGGTAAAATTTTCTTTTATTGTTTCACATCCGTAATTATTTATTTATATTTTCAACCTTGCCTTTTTAACAGCTGGGGTTCGGGAGCAAATCCATGGGGCTTAGAAAAGGAAGATCAATTCCAAAAACCAAACCATTGGGACGGCATGTTGGAAGTGGTTGGAGTAACAGGGGTTGTTCACTTGGGACAAATTCAGTCTGGTCTCAGATCTGCAATAAGGATAGCACAGGTGACTCTCGTCATTTATTTTAATCGTCCTCATATGAACTTTTCTCTTTATTATTTTTATTTTCCAGGGTGGTCACATTAAAATTCACATACATTCCGACATGCCGGTTCAGGTGGATGGTGAACCATGGGTCCAGGCTCCATGCGAGGTTGTTGTGCTCAAATCTGCTGTAAAGGTGAGAATACATTTTTGTACAAAAATACATACAATTGAGAGATTTAATAATTGAAATATGCTCTACTTTTAATGATTGAAGTTTTAAAATTTTTCCTACCTGACCAATACCACTTTCTTGACTTTTTCGTTAAGATATATACATCAGTTATGCATGTCCTATGCAGCGCATCAGAGCTTCCATAATTTTTTATTTATTTTCCTTTTATTCCTCATTCCATAGCATGACCTTTATACATAATAAAATAAGAAAAAATTAAAGGAAAAAAAAAAGAAAAAAACAGAAACCACCTTCGGGCTCACAGGTTCAGCAGAACCCAGAATGTGCATGAATCTGATTTAAAATGCTACTTAATTATTCACTTGTATTAAACTATAGCAGGGTGTCCACAGGTCTTATGCGTTATTAATTTCTATTAGAATTTGCTTTTTATTAGATATTAACTAATTCAACATTGAGTGCTTTTTTTCTATTAAACTAGTAAAATTAGTAATTATTTTACGCTTTACAAGTTGATATATAATTTTGTATAACAAAAAATTAAAGTATGAATCTTAAAGCAAGAATTTAAAACAATTAAAGGATCAATAAAATTGAAAAGAACTAAGTAGGCTATAATTTATATTATATATATTTATTTTCTTAGAGTAGCATCATATCCAATTTGCCTTCTCCAGTCCAGACTGAAATTAATAACATTAGTGATGTGTGTTTGAGTTTTGATGAAAAAGAATGTGAAAAAGATCAATTTTTGACTATTTGACCAAAAAGAGACATTGAAAATCTTGTCTATCTGAAGCATGTCTCAAAGACTGTTGCTTTACTTTATCACACGTCCATGGGCATGTGTCGTAATGTGAAAAATTTTAAGGCCAATTTGATAGAATAATCCTTTTTTTTTTCTTCTTCACAAAGATACTATGAAAAGATACGTTGAGATCTTAAATGATTTTGATTGACCAGTGGCAGAGAAATACACAAATTTCTGCCTGTAAAAATGGACTGACTGCATGTGAATGCATTTAACAGCATGAACCTTATGGGTTTGTCCTCAACTTTGCTGAGACGAAGGTCTTAAACGAATTTTGGAAATTCGTTTGATGAAAAATAAAACGTACAACTAAATAAAAGTTTGAATTAAACTAAAGATTTGAAAGATTAGTTTAATTTGAAAGGGAAATAGTTGATCTTCAGAGTAGTTAAAGAGCTTTAGTTTTGTTTTAGTTTTTGGGATTTGTAGGCACCCTGTATATTTAAATCCAAGCACTGAATCAAGCAGCCTTTAAACATTTTTTAGCCAATAGCTTTGTTTCTAAGCTATAACTTAAACTTTACATATTAAAATGGTTTCCGCTAACTGTGAACGGGGCCCTCACAGGCGACTATGCTGAAGAAAATAAAAATGAAGAGGCGGAACACAGAACCTAACATTGTATCTGCTAATCCAGAAGGCGCAAAGAGCTCAAACGAGTAAGATCTCCCGTAACCTTGGACCTCCACTTTTTAAAAACCTACCTTTGTCCAGTATTTCATTTTCATTTGGACTTATCTATTGTTCATTTTCTCGATGTTTCACATTTTATTCATTTGTTCATTTAAACCACGAGGAAGGAAAATTTAAACTAAGCTTCCTGTAAATTCCCTCTTTTTGCACTTGTTCATAATATTCCATCCCCGCTATTATTGTATCCTTTTTGGGGAGTATTTTACTGAGGTGTGACCGATGGTAGGCAACGATGCTGAAGAAGATGAAAGGGAAAATGAAGAGGCGAAATACAGAACCATTTATGGCCCAGGCTACAGGGAGCAGCAGTGCTACCATTAGCATTCCAGTCGTCGCAGAACAGCCGGACTCCCTCAACCACAATGAGTTCTAAAAACCTTATCACACCAATACATACATTAATTTTAATAATAGTACAATGTGTGTATTTTATTATATCAAGTTGCCTTTTCATGTGTCTAAATTTTTAAGTAACAACGTTATAGTAAAACTTATAATAAACCTAATGTGTTGGGTTTGGGTTTAAATTAAAACATCAAGGACTTTGGAATGGACTTCATCCTTTCTCTTTGATATTAAATTTTATTGAAACTTGTTATTTTAAAACGGAGGTTAAAATGTTTTATTATATAATGAAATAGAAGAATAACTGTGGGCACTGTAATTACAATGAACTTATTACAACAAAATAAGGTTGTTTTTACCCTTGTTGTATACTATAATCTTCAATGACTAAACAAAGACATTTCTGGCCCAAAAAGGTGTTTTTTGCCTGCGGCAAAATAAATATTTTCATAGTCTCCAGCACAATTATGTTAAACAAAATTGTGGTCAGAATATAATTCGTGCGATGCACTCATTGTTGTGACCTGTTATGTCTGCCATGACCAAAGATAAAACATTAAAAATACCTCATGATATGTTATAATGAAATTTGAAAGTACATATTTTATTCTAGTCATGTTACTGAGTGTTAAAAAAGAAAAAAGATTGTGATTTTTTATATATAAGAAAAATTGTTTTATGTATATTTAGTACTATTTAGAAGATATAATATATTTTTTATAGTATTTATTAGATAATTAATTTGGTTTTGAAGACTATGTTTGTTAAGATGTGTTTGTTTAAGCTTATGTTAACCAAAAATGAAAGTTAAAAAGAAAGAACAATGGTCATAAAACACAAATCATGATTTGAAAAAAAAAAAAAAATGAAACATCAAAGAAACGTACAAAAAAAGAATGTGCAATCAACTATAGTCGGATGAGTTGGAAAACATTTCTATTGGAGTCGACTTGCTTTATACACAGTTGTACAGGTTAATAAATTGTAAAACCGACAAACGCAAGCCTGTCGATTCTAATGGAAAAGTAAAGGAGTCGCTCGGTGACTTTGTAAGCGGATGTAAGGGGGAAGACAAGGTGTGGGTCACCGATGTATTCTACATTGTTAGAGATATGTGATTCCCGGTGTATTAGAAAAGGAAGAGGTCAGTTTACTCTAAATAAAATAAGAAGTGCGCCTTGTATATATACATATATTTTTGGAGTGAGGCATCAAATAACAGATGTCAGCTCACATGGACATTTACATCTGTTATGATGATAAAACGGCTGGCTGGTAGAAAATGTGAGACACCAAGGGAACTAATAAACATATACATTTACAAGATGACAAGTAAGGGTCAGATGAGATAAGTTATATTACATTGATTCAATTAAAATGTGAAATTTTCAAGTAAAGTTATATTGTAAAGGATTATGGCCCCCTGTCAACCGCCTACAAGCACCGTTAAGTCAAGAAGATTGCAAAGTAGTTCATAATACCTTTCCTGCTAAATGTCTTATGTCCTATTTTTTGAGTCATGAGGGCATATGTTGAGTATCCTTGCCGGAAGTGGAAATTCAACATGAAATTCCTAACCGATCATGCGTGTTTGGGGCTCAGTCACTCACAGACTGCTTTCTCCGGGGCAATTTCATCTGTGAGAGATACACACATTTGGTCGGTTTGTGAAACCTAATCTATTTTTATTGCTTAGTATCACTATTGTATTTACAAATTTAAACAAGAGTATATAAAGAAATTAAAACGCTCGATACAATCTTTTTCTGTATGTTATGGTATCTTTTCCATGTGCTGTGTACAAGAAAAAATATTATAAACATGTAAGAGCGTTGAATAAATGACACGGTTGAGTGGGGCTGGCTTGACTTCCCGAAGTGTGTCACTCACACACATCGTCAAGTTCCACCTCAACAGTGCATCTCTAAAATCCATTATACCCTTTACTAAATCTCTGATTATTATATGTATATGATGTCATGATGGTAAATAGATATAAAACTGTGAGTATATAGAAAAGTATTAAATGTGACTCTTGAAGAAAGCACTTTTATTATTTTTTATCGCCCTTTCCCATGCCCAAACAATATTACACAAAAGGCAATTCAATAATTAATTTATAGCTTGGTCATTTCTGACCTTTATGGCTTGCACTTCCTCGCATTTTTGCACCATCATATTTTACCGTTTTGCCATATCAGAAACCTTACAATAAACTAATAAATCAAAAAATTGTCCTGGATGTGTTAAAATAATAAAATGAACTACCAAAACATTTCAACAAAGGTTCATATAAGATTATAATTACAATATAAAATTGAAGTATACTTCTTTGAAGTAAATGATACACAATTAGTCTAATTTTTGTTTTTTTTTAATTTGTAACCAATTAAGTAGAAAAACAAATTAAATAAAGGACTAACTGAACTATATAATTATAATAAGATAACTTATTGACACCTGCCAGGTGATGAGCAATTATGTCAGACAGGTTTCAACATCTCATCTTCAGCGACCATTGACACAACCAGCCAGACAAGACAGAAACGATCAAGTTATATTTATTGTTTAAAATGTGACACCTCTCTAACAAAAGCAAATAAGGGGGAATTGATGCGGACATCGTAAGCAAAGCCTCCATCTGTTCTTGTACAACTAAGTTCAATTTATTTAAATAGTAGTAGTAAAATAAGAAGGCCATCAAAGATTAAAATGATTTTTTAAAAATTTGTTTGTTGTGAAATCAAATTTGCAAATTTGTTACCCTACTATTCATTTGAGATGCAAATGTTTATTTGAATTCTTTCGCAAAATCGTCACTATTCCTTAATGTTGCAATTAACCTATAACAAAACATATACATACATTAAAAGTACTTTATGAATCTTTATCCCATAACAAACGATGCAACAATATGCAGATTTAAATTTTCAAGTTTATTTTTTATTTTTTTAAATGATAAACTAGAGTAAGAAAAATAGACAAAGTAAAAAAATAATAATTTTGAATAAATCAGTATTAGGTTAATTACAGCTTATGGTGGTACCAATTAACTCTGGACACTGGCGTATGCCACATATAAGAACATGAAATCATTTGGAGAATGATTAGTTAGTTATGAATTTGCTCATAGCAGGTAAGTAAAAAGAACACTTATCTATTCTTTAAGTTTTTAAAATGTTGTATGCTTATGCAATATTTTACCCGACACCCATGAACCTATGGGACCAAATTTTTATTTTATACTTTTGCTTATGTAGAGTACCAGTGATTCCAACTCGTTTGGCAAAATAAGTCAAATTACAAGTTGAATCATTTAAAAAAATTGAAGAAAATGTTTGTATCGTAATTTTCTACCCGTTAAATCTCTGAAAAAGTAAATACATAACCAAAATGTTGCACTGATTTATTTCCTTCTATAAAAATCAACAGTTTTAAATCAACTAAAATAAATAAATGTTTATCTGGTTTTAATTCTTGGTGCTATTTGTATTTTAAGAGGTAGATTTGATGAAAAGAAATGATTATTTATTCATTTGCTATCTCATAGATAGAACCCTCTTGGTATGTATCACAATACATTTACATGATAAATAATTTTAAATTAGTTGCAATAATATTAAATAATAACTGAAATATAATTAAGTACAATGGATATTTGTATTATTCAAAAAATGAAAAAGGAAACCCAAGGGAAGAAAGAAGATGAAAATAATAACAGTGCATACAATGCCAAGCAACTGCCAATTTAAATTATTGGAAAAAAAAGCCTCAAGTTATGGAGCATTTGTAAAAAATTGCCCATTCCTTTATAAATGTCTTGTCTAACTGGGATAGGGAATTAAATTTCATGGGTATAATAATTTGTAAATTCACATACAACACCTTGTTGTTTATATTGATATTTTAATTTAAACAAACTTCCTGACAAACTCAAAAAAAAAAAAAAAAATGTGGGAAAAAGAAAAAACTTCAGTCAAGAAACTGTTGGCTGGTACACCAATGGATCTAAATACAAGAAGGTATAGAGGCAGGAGTATTTGGCCGCAAAAGCAAATACTCAGTCCCCATGTGCAAGTAAACAAGCATTTTTCCAGTTGAAATCCACACTACTGAAAGATGGACTCAATTCAATTTGAACAGAGGGAATAAAAACAAGGACATAGTATCATATGGATAGCCAGGGTGGTGCTGAATTCCAAAACTAAATTAAACAACTTGCAAAACGTTGTTACACTCTACTGGGACCTGGGGCAGAGAGGCGGATACATAACTATAAGTCTTAACACACCTTTTCTGGTATAGGAATCCATACAATCAACAAGCAGCAAGGAAAGAAGACTGGCTGAAGAGAGAAAGCAATGGAATCCAAAAACCCTCTGGTGAGATTTGGTAAAAATGAAATAAAATACATGAAAAGAACAGAAAGAGATCTGAATTCTTACAGGACTCTTAACAAAGCAATGCGGATTGCATGGACCAAGAAAGATTGGTATCAACCAATTCAAAGAAGCAGAGCACACAAAGCACCTACTATTAAACTGTGGTGCTACTTTTGTTCGTAGGAGGAAGTGTTTTGAACCGTATAAAAAAATACAATCACTAAAATCAGGCCTAATAATCAAATTCCTTGAAGAATTGGGACTCACTGATCTATGGTTCTGTGTAGGTACAATTTAATATCTGTGAAAGTGCACAGCATATCAAATTACCCTGAATTTTTACATCTTACATTATTTTTTCTTTTAAACAAAGGAATAACAAATCCAATTTTCCAAAAACAAGGAAATACACCGTGATTCAAAAAAATTGAATATGTTTCACAGGAGAAATGCTAAAGCATAGAAATAGTAGAATACCATCAGCAATTATGTACAATTTAGCAATTTAGAGAATTCATGTGAGAAAACATTCCAAAGTGATTAGGAATTAAGTTACTCTATTTTTATAAGTAGTTATATGAACAGTTTGAAACTGATATTAAATAAATTAGCAATAGAAAGGCAATCACAGCAAGTTGCATCACATTGTGTAAATTCAGTTTTATACCAAGAACAACAAAATACTTTAAACTCTTTCAAAAACAAATATACTTAATGACAGTTTAAGTAAATTTAAACATTTTTTATCATTTTAAATATTGCATTATTACAATTATTTAAACAATTTTAATGCAAATTTAAAATTGTATTAATTTATTTTAATTTTTTGTTATTTAATTGTAAATAATTCATAAATTTATGTATAATTATAACTAGAGCCCCGATTTGCATGCAATAAAAATCCTCAAATATGCCATATAATATGCACTAATGAATCCTCAAATAGGAAATATTTTATGCCCTAAAAACTTGGCAAATATGCCATATTTTTTTGCACTAAAAATAATAAAATGCGCAACATGAATGTCAAAAGCATCTTCTGAACTTAGGTAAACCTAGACGTACATATTTTCTTTTTGATCTAGTACATATTCATTTTGAAAGGAAATAGGACAGCAAAATCTGTCATAGAATCATATCATATAAAATGAACAAAATAATTAATTACATTTAATTAAGTTGATGATTTGAATTAAAATTGATAATGAGTTACATTTCAAAGTTGTTTCTGGCAAACGACAGTGTTTATTATTTAACAAATATTTGAACCTTGAAATAAGCCTTAAAACAGTGATGGAAGCATACTTTTACAAATTAAAATTACATAACTGGAACATTAATTGATTCCCTTTATTGTTTTCATTTAAAATTTAATTTATTTTCTCCAATTCAGATAATCCACAGTTTTTGTCAAGGATGTCATTTTAATTTCTCTTGTAGTATAATTCGTGCATCGCTAATTTCTATTTTGCTTTGAAAAGAAAAATTCAACATGCTATTTCAAAAGGTGTTAAGTTCCAATTTTTATCATTTTTTAGGTTTACTAGGTTGAAAATATGAATGAGGACTAAGACTGACTATTTTGGTGTTTCAAATGAGGTTTTTCCAAAACCCGATTACTACAAAAAACAAAATTTTTCAAAAACGAGAAAAACCACCCAGAAGTTTTAGAAATAAGGCCCTAAAAAAATATGCCAATTGTTCAAAAGTATTCTATTGGTCTGATTGTTAACATCATTGTTCCTGGCAAATTAACTCCAATCTGAATAAAATTTTAAGTTTCAAATTTGCAGTCATTCAAATATGCAAATTTATGCAACATTAAAGTTGGAGTTTCTATTGCCCTGCAGTAATTCAATTGTTATACTTAGGGTATCTTCATAAGGTCTCAGCGATGAAGGAGTAAACATTTCGGCGATTTAATTGCTATTCTCAGGGTCTATTTCTTAAACAAATACATACATTAACAATGTAAATAACATTACACTAATTGAGAAGTTTCAATCTTTTTATAATAAATTCTATTTATTTCACTTTACCCACTGATGAAATTGAAGTTTAAGCGTTATTATAAGTTAAAATTTAAAACTGAAGAAAATAAAATCAAGTAACGATTATACCAATACAAGAACCATAAATGTATGCTTTTTCATCACTGAGACTTTTCGAAGATACCCCAAGCATAAAAATTATGCCACATTCTTCAAATATGCACAATAAAATTTGAACCATTGTACCATGGAGGTACGATTAGGATAAAAATCTGACACCATGGTTCTAAGTAAACAATTATGCAACATTCTTCAAATATGCAGAATAAAATTTGAACCATTGCACCATGGAGGTATGATTAGGATAAATATCTGACACCATGGTTCTATGTGAACAATTATGCAACATTCTTCAAATATGCAGAATAAAATTTGAACCATTGCACCATGGAGGTATCATTAGGATAAATATCTGACACCATGTTCTATGTGAACAGTTATGCAACATTCTTCTAATATGCAAAATAAAATTTGAACCATTGCACCATGGAGGTATGTTTAGGATAAATATCTGACACCATGGTTCTATGTGAACAATTATGCATCATTCTTCAAATATGCAGAAAAAAATTTGAACCATTGTACCATGGAGGTTTGATTATCTGACACCATCACCATGATTCTAAGTGTTAGCAAAAAGAATATTCAATTGTAAACAAATCCGGGCTCAAGTTATAACATTTATATATTTATTGCATTCATTAGTAATTGGAAAACAATTAAATAAAGCAAAACAAACAAAAACTGGAAAAAATAAATACATTTGTGATGTAATCGTGACGAAAATACCTTCTCCGTCGAGGCTCTATGACATCTTTCACAAACTTTCACAAAGCTGTATTTTGTGGCAGATTGTCTTGAATGTCTGAAACCTGGACGACCCTTTTTTTTGTCCATTTTTCGTTGCTGGCTCGTTGAGGATTTTTTTCCTTGGATTAACAACTTTAAAGGGAAAGAACGACATTGACCAACGATCCATCGATGTATAATGTCAATTGAAGTCGTCAAAGGTGATTTAAATTCTTACAAAATAATTGACCTTTAATTATTTCACTAACTAGTCACGCCCAAAATCCACTTATAAAACTTTTGTTATTTAAGAAATATATAATAATACGAAATATAGACAATTTGTTTTCTACACTATAGTCTTAAACCATAATAAATTAATGGCTAATTTGTAGCAGCAGTAACATAATATTTGTTTTACTACACTACTTAGTCGCTGTATAATTTATATATTTATATTTTTTAAATCATTTTATAGCACAATAAATATAGTATTTCCTTTTGAGCATTCATTCACTTGGTAAGCAAGTTATAGTTTTTTAAATTTAATCTTAGATTCTCTATGCCAAATGAGAAATTTTAGTATTTTTCATATTAACTTAATTTTTTAAAGTTCTTAAATAATCTCTAATAGTGTGTAGTTTGCTGCAGAAGAATTTGGGCCCATCAGTTCCTGTATGTCCTGGAACTAAATGAATGGCAATTCTTGTATTTAGCAAAGTTCATTCTGAGGATGTTTGAATTGAATTATGGATGCTTGACTATGTGGATGTAGGCCCTCCATTCATGGATCGACTTGTGGTCGATGCAACTTGAACGCGATGTGATTCCAATGCAACCTCGGCTTGACCTAAACGTGAGGGGATCCATAGGCAGGTCAATTTTTGTTCAGTCTACTTTTGATAGAAGGGTTCTCACCAGATAAATAGTTTTTTTTAACGGGGGTATAATGAGTAGTTCAAATGATGAGGAGGGCGTTGCCACGTTCTACTGGAACCGTCAAATGAAAAGGAGGTGAAGAAAAGAATTGGTACATCCATACAATCAATTACTGATTAACCCACTGAAGAAAAATAATTGAATGCACTTTATTTATATAAATAAATATATGTATATTATGTATTATTTTTATTTACTTTTTTGTTCAGAAGATTTTATTATTTTTTATCTATATATCATTTAACATACAGAAGGTGGTAATAATTTGTAAAACTCATAAAAAACACATTCCACGCTTTTGCTCTTGTGTCCTTTCTGGAATGAGCTGAGAGGGTGTAATTTTACAATTCAGAAAGCTTTTCCACCGCCTGTACAAATGTTCGGTTTGACGCCTTCATGGGGTACTAACCTGAAACTTGCAACTAGCTCGATTTTTGCAAATCCAATTTGCATCGCAACCAAGTCGAAAATGTATCAAAATAGTGTTGACCCATGGGTGGTTGCCTACCTACTTGTACAGGAAGTACAGTTGTGACAAAAGTTACGTTGCAGTTGCATCGAGCAAGAGTCCATGTATGGAGGTCCATAGATATAAAATTTGAAGTGGTAATAGCGCTGTACATGTTGTGGCCTACCGGAGAGTTTCACGTGTACTAATAAACCGGAACATTAGTGTCAACTACTTTCAGTGAAACTGCACGGGTATTAACTGTTCAAATCAGATCTAAATTTGATTAATTCTACCTGCACAATTGTCTACAGTGGAATAGGTCTGTGTGGGGGTCATTGGTCACCTGCATAGGTTTCAGAATTCAGTTTGGTCAAAAGTGGACCATTTCACAATTTTTGGTTCCGTTTATGCTGGTCGTTTGTTCACCATGTCATACTGAAAGGGCAATTTTATTGAAGAATTTATTGAGTTGTTTAAATCAGAACAATGTCTCTGGCAAGTAAAAAGCAAGGAGTATGTAGTAAATTCCTTTGTTTTTAAAATTAATAGACAAAAATAAATTGACCCCTCAATTGCATTGCAGCTGATGATCATTGAAGCTAAAACTTGTACGTTTACCTTACCGTATATGAGCTCATTACTTGTGCAGGTACACTTATTGCACTTCACCCAAGGTTCGTCCTCCAACCACAATGTGTATGGCCAGCCTTTGAAAGCTATTGTATATAGTGAGTCCTAGTTCAAGAAATTTGGTTAGTAGGACTGGTTTCAAATTTATTCTACAGTTATGGTTTACAACCCAAAGCACTTTCTCCTGCAGGCCATGGGCTGTTTTCTCTGCTTCTTCGCTGTGTTGGATGGTACCAATCTTCCTCACGTGACTGTTCAGTCTGCAGTGTCCTGTTAAGAAATCTGTTAAAATTTGAAATTGTCCCTGCATCCTTGAGTGTATTCTGTTTCTTCTCTCCTTCTCTACAGAAGGTTCCTGGATTATTTGTGTCCAATGAGTGAATTCCACTGTTTCCTCATTGTATGCGTGAATCCCTATGCTAAAGGGCTCAGAACCTAGCATCCCCTTGCAAGGGCGTCCACTCTCATTTCCATCTAATCTCATGTACTGGGACCTAGCAGAGTGTAACTTTATTTTACTTAATTAATGTAATTTAGTTTTGCAATTCAGCACCATCTTTGAATTAATCGTATTAGTCTATGTTCTATATTCTTGCTTTTGTGCCATTTCTTCAAGTTGAACTGAGTAAATCTCTCAATTGCTTGGACTTCAGCCTGGAAGATACATTTACAAAAGTATATACATACAATATGAAAATGTTCTACTATGGAAATGAAATTAAAAGGGCAATTAAAAAGTCTTGAGTGCCAGCTGTAAAGACAAGAAGTAATGAAAGAAATGTGATTTAAAGGTGGAAAGGGATGGGGCTCAGCAGATACTGAGAAAGGGAATTCCAGGTTGGAGGCACAGACAAGGATAGAAAGATATCTGGTAGAGGAAGAAGCCTAGGAAGCTTTCAATAGGAAGAAGAGTATAGCTACTTCAAGTCGGTATACAGATCATGTGGGACCTTCCTAGCGTGCTTAAGACAAAAGTGCAAAACAACACATTAGAGGTTTAAGCTTATCAAAGCTTATCCTCAAGCCCCCCAGTAAGTCCTCTAATAAGGGAGGAAACTAGGAGTTTACTCATACTAAATGGCTGGCACAATGGAACTGATGTAGGGTGAAAAAACAGCGTTGATAGATATGGGATTCTAGGACAATCCCAAAATTCTTGATGGTGGGACAGAAGGAAATAGATCATTGTTAATTGTAAACAATCCATAACTATGGTGGAACTTTCAAGATTTTTTAACCTATTTTATGTTAAAATCTCATATGTTGTATTTTCAACGTAGTTTTTAGTTCACTAGTTTTCGTGGTCTGCTTGACAAATTTTATAGTTTTTAGTCTTTTTTTTGTGTAAAATTACACTTTAATATTGTTTTCTTAGAATTTGTTTTTATGTTGTAGACTGTGCAGATATATGGGTTAGGTTTTTTAAGTAAAATTATACTTTAATATTTTTTTCTTAGAATTTGTTTTTATGTAGTAGACTGTGCAGATATATGGGCTAGGTTTTTTGTGTAAAATTATGCTTTAATATTTTTTTTCTTAGAATTTGTTTTTATGTTGTAGACTGTGCAGATATATGGGCTAGGTTTTTTGTGTAAAATTATGCTTTAATATTTTTTTTCTTAGAATTTGTTTTTATGTTGTAGACTGTGCAGATATATGGGCTAGGTTTTTTGTGTAAAATTATGCTTTAATATTTTTTTTCTTAGAATTTGTTTTTATGTTGTAGACTGTGCAGATATATGGGCTAGGTTTTTTGTGTAAAATTATGCTTTAATATCTTTTTTCTTAGAATTTGTTTTTATGTTGTAGACTGTGCAGATATATGGGCTAGGTTATTTGACCACAGACCATTTTTGAACGGTGAAATCAAATTATTTCTAAAAGAATTTGGGGTAATCTTCAAGATTTATATCGGTTTTGTTTAATTGTTTGTTAATTTATTTTATTTCTGCTATTAGGAATCAAGAAAATTCAATGATCAAATTTGTCTTTTGGGAATTGCGAGGTCTGTAACTAATTTGAAAGAAAACCAAATTCCAAATGCGATCAACAGTTTGGACAAGTTGCAGAAGTTGAACACTCTAATCGACATATCAGTACAAAATTGCAATACAATCTTGGAAAACGAGTCCCAATATAATGTCGTAAGAAGTTATTGCCCTTATTTGCCTTATCCATCTAAGCAATTACTTATATTTTTAGTATTTTAGGAGGAATCTTTGAAAAGAAAAGAAGAAATACGTGCTGAAGAGTGGAAAAGATTTATGGATGAAATAGATAATGAGTATTTAAAAATTCAAACGACTTTTGCAGCGAAAAAACAAGAACTGTATAAATTTTATGAAGATCTTGCTGACAAGTTGTATTTAAATTAAATCGTTCAATATGACAGTGTCAAATCAAGATTTTCAGCTTAAAGTTACAATAAATAAGCAGCTTATCGAGGCGTTTAACAAATGCATGTCCGAAAGTGAGGGCATTCCCCCAAATATAAAAGAGTGCATGAAAGATAAGGACTTTGCAAAATTTCAAGATTTAGAATGGCTTTTTACCAAAACTAAACATGTAAGTAACAATAGAAAAGACCAGCAAATATTCAATATTCATACGGGGATATTGTTTATTTAGGAAACGGGTAAATTTCACGAATTGATCACTGGGTCAGAAATATTGTTACCTAAACCAGCTGAGATTCCTCGAAACCCGGAGCTCGAGGCAAGAGTGAAGAGACTTCGTGCAGAACAGGATGAGAGAGACTATAAAAAGATGACTAAGAATGTCGATAATGTAAGAGTGAGACATCCTGAAGACTCCATCAAATACCAAGGTATTTTTTTAAGCAAATTTATCTAACCAAGTTAGCACTTTTCTATGTCATTGGTTTTGTTTTTAGTTGATCAGATGAATAAACAACTTATTGCTGTGGCCCAGTTCGTCTTTTCTGTTATAGCCGGATTTGTTTTCGGCTTTCTCGGTATTGAACTAATAGTAGGCGACTTGGAATTTGGCTTTCGTCTATTGCTTGGAGTGATTTTTGCACTTATAATTGCTTTGGCTGAGATATACTTCTTAGCGAAGAAACTTGCTGAAGATCTGGAACCGTTGGAAAAGCCTAAATTAAAACCTCACATGGATTAAATGCTGAATCCATAATTTGTTTCTTATTTTTTCGATTAAATGTTTTTGCTTACTAAACCAGTTAGTGTCTGAATTTATATTTCAATTTCTATAGATTTTCAATAAATTGTCATTACTTAATTTCGTTGTTATTATTTTACCTATTTTTCTATTTTAGACCTTTAACATCAGTATATATATATCAGTGTGGGACACTAATGTAGATATACACTTTCCTCTCATAACTCTGGGCTACTACAATTAATATCAAATGTTTAATATTTATTTAAATAAATAAATCTTTTATCTATGGTGATATTTTCTTTTTATAACAGTCAACAATACTACTGATCAACAAATTTAAAACTAATATCATAGATGTGCTTTATGTTAATTTTTGGCTGACGGAGGATAAGCAATTACTATTGTTACAGGCCCATCTAGTTCCTGCATGTACTGGAAAGACAAAGTGTCTTGTGCTATACTATGATAATGTGATATAAAAGTGATTGTTTTAAATATTGTGATAATTTTTTACTTGTTCAGCGAGTCTTTGAAATCTACCAGTTGTCAATTATTGTAATGTAATAATATAATTATTTTTTTGAAACTAGTATGAGTATTACATTCAGGAACTCTATATTTCTTTTAAGTAGTTAATCTTTAATTAAGGTTTTGGTTGAGATAAAAAGTCAGTGTCACGAGCAGGATTTGAACCCACGACCGGCTAAATACACCGCTGCTCTACCACTTGAGCTATCATGACTTCGATCCGCTTGTACACTAACTTCCCATTTCAATCCCACCTTTTTTTAAAAATTTCCCTTTTTTTGCCATTTTTCAACCTTTTTTGTTTTTATCTCAACCAAAACCTTAATTAAAGATAAATTAATTGAAAAGAATTTATTTGGTAAAGGGACCACGAAACCTAATAAATTTTTTTAAAGGTTTGTATCTCTTTGAGGGGAACCACATTATATATTATGGTTTAGGTAAATTAAAAAAAACTTTGAAAAACAGTGAATTTTGTCATTTGTATCACATTTTTATCACTTATATAAGGAATGAATAGAATTGGATCCAGGACTGATCCTCGCAGAACTCCTCTAAGCACTGGATAATATATATAACGTGGAAGGTTTATGGGCTGACAAAGCTGAGGTCATCGCCGGCCCTCCGTGTGTATTCCTTCTCTTTCCTCTCTTTCTCGCGTGTTTTGTATTGAACTGCAGCCATTTGAGCATCTCGATCTGGTTACTGACTCTCTGCTTTTACTTGTATATTACGTCGTTATTTCAAAATGCTAGTCTCTTGTTAGTACCTCAGGTTGTCAATTTAAGAATAGATACACAATATACAATACATAACATATATATTGCCACAAACAGAAGTCTGGTCACATTCACTCCCCCAGAGTACTCGATATTCCTCGAGGCGTGGTTTAAACCCACTCCATTCGCTCTGATAACTTACTTGTATTCTCCAGACGTCACTCACGAACCCCCAGAGTACTCGATATTCCTCGGGGCGGGGTAAATAACCCCTTCCTTTCACGCTAATAAATTACATTCATCCTAATAAACATAAACACCACACAAACACTTCACACACAATACAAGCATAGCACAAACACACATAAACTATATACATTTGAAAGTCCCTGCTGCCGTGCCCCAAGACTAGGCACAGGTCCGACGATATTCCAAAATATTGCCTATAAACATTGAGCCTTTTACAATTGAAAAGGTGCTCAACTGTTACTCTATCCTTGCATAATGGGCACCTATGCGGTCGCTTTCCTGCTAGAAGGTGCCCGTGCATAATTCTTGTATGACCTATGTGTAGTCTTGTCAGTATGTCACTGGATAAGAATTAGGATATGCTTGATCAACCTTGGCAAAGGAAGAAACTTTAAGTTAAATAAAATTATTCCTACACTCAGCACAGCTTTATTCCAAAACATTATGTTTACAAACATAGACCAAATTGTAAACCTCTGGACAAAAACATACATTCAAACAATTTAACTGACATATACCTTGATTTTTCCAGAGCGTTTCTGTTTCACAAACTCTTAATTTACAAACTGAAGGGGCTTGAGATCCATGATACTTAACTAAATTTCTTGAAATCATACCTCTGTGATAGGAGTTTTAAAGTCAAGGTTGATCAAGCACATCATAATTCCTATCCAGTGCTTAGCAGAGTTCCACAAGGGACATTTCTAGATCCAATTCTATTTGTCCTATATATCAGTGATATAAATGACAAAATAAAACTCATTTAACCTACAAATGGTAGTTCTGTGGCGTCTCAAAAAGACATGGGGATAACAATATCAGATCTTCTCAAGTAGAAATGTGCACTCTCAACACGACAGACAAGAATGACACGTCTACACAGAAAACAAACACTTGGAGCTCTGAAGATGATCTCAATAAAGATCAAAACGTTGGCATGATAAAGAAAATGTTTTTCTAAAAACTACATCACGCCAGGCCGCATCTCACAACTATCAAATAATCAATATCAGAAGACTTAAAATGGAATAAACATGTCTTGGATTTGTCAAAAAAGGAAGCCTTCTTCCATACCAAGATAAATACACATTTCCATCACCTTATCCTGAAATACATTAAAAAAATGTTACTTATTTTTGACCCATACTAGAGTTTGCAGTTGTAGTATTTGGAGCCCCTAATTTCGTAAAAATATTAAACTTGTAGGAAAAGTTTAAAGATGTTTTAGCATAACCTCAAAAAAATTAAAGCCATATCACATTAACGACTTAAACTTCTAAATTTAACAATTCTTCAAGTTGGTAGAGAATGGCAAGACATTGAATCCTATAAAATTCTTACAAATAAATATCACTCATCGTCATAGCTTTTCTCACTGCCTAAACCCTGAAAATCTTAAGTCTATAGCATGAAAGTTCAAAAATAGCACTCCCAGAACTTGGTTGGTCATCAATTCAAGATCACTAATGTAATTTCAAATCGAATCTTGACAGTCAGTAATTATTCAGAAATCATGAGATGCGGTCTGGTGTGATGTAGGTTTCAGAAAAACATTTTCTTTATTGTGCCGTTTCGATCTTTATTGAGATCATCTTCAGGGCTCCAAGTGTTTGTTTTCTGTGTAATTGTGCCATTCTTGTCTGTTGTGTTGAGAGTGCCATTTCTACACGAGAAGATCTGATATTGTTATCCCCATGTCTTTTTGAAAGATGCCACAGAACTACCATCAGTTTGTAGGTTAAATGAGTTTTATTTTGTCCTTTATATCACTGATATATAGGACAAATAGAATTGGATCTAGGAATGCCCCTTGGAATCTAGGAGTGCCCTGGCACTCTCAACACGACACGCAAGAATGGCACAATTACACAGAAAACAAACACTTTGAGCCCTGAAGATGATCTCAACAAAGATTGAAACGTTGGCATGACAAAGAAAATGTTTTTCTGAAACCTACATCACACCAGATCGCATCTCACGATTTCTGAATAATTATCGATTAACGGTCACTAATCACCACACACTTGACAGTCATCAATCAAAAAATCCCAAACTTTTTTTCATTCTTAGAATGTAATTTTGTAAGCATGTATTTTATTTTGTTTGCTTGTTAAGAATAGAATCCTTAGTAATTACACAGTTGACCAAATAGGATTTACATTAATTACAAGATAAATTGCAATTAATTTAAAGTTAAAAAACACAATATATCAAAAAATTATTTATTTTCATCATCTAATTGCTTTACAAAATATTGTATCATGCAATTGTTATACAAGTGAAAGCAATTTTACTTGAAATTTCTTTTATAATGCATTAAAATCTAACTATACATTTTATACACAGTACAACATATTAAAATATAAGTACTGATGGCAATAGTTAAGAAATTATAAAAAGCGTAGTGTAAACAATTGGCTATGTTTTGTTTGGAATTTTTAATTTGTTATTTTACCAATGTATGAAGATGATTTTCTACTCTTTTTAATAGTAGATGGTAACAAGTACCTCTGTTTGGAATTATAATCTACTGACTTAGTTGCATTTAAGTACTTTGAAAATAATATGTTTGTCACACATTTGAATTGAGTTTGCTGTTTTGAGAGAAGCCGAGAATGGTTATTATTTTTGAAGGGTTATTTGTATGTACTTGGGCCGGTTCGCTGCAGTCAGCATAGAGTTTTTTGTAAACCGATCTTCCTCCTCGTCTTACTAAGAAGTGTCCGCTGAGAGATGGAGCTGGAGTGTAGGTCGTAGAGCCGTAGTTCCTGCGGGACCTATATATGAAGAATGCGACAAGGTTTCCAACGGCAAGTATGATGGAAAGGATCGAGATCCAGATTAAAACCATCGGCCATACCAAATTCGATTCATCCGGGAGTGGCGTTATTGTATAAGGCCCAGTTTCAATCATTTCTGGGTTTTCTGTGATCTTAATTTCTTCTCTCTCTCTATTTTTTGCAGCATGAATTTTCAGTTGGTTCACCAAGGACTGGGTTTTATAAGCATTGTTCTTACTCTCGTGTTCCAGGGGGCACATTTCGTTCAGAATCTCTTCCCATTGAATGTTGTTATTGATCAAATTTAAGCTTTCAGGGTCTCTTCTCATTTCGAGGCTTGGCACGACCTTCTTGCCAATCAGCCATTGCATAACATGGCTGAAATCTTGTGTGCAGACGATCGGGTTGTTTGAAATGTCGAGTGTCTCCAAATTTCTCATGCTAATAAAAGAATGCATATGCAGTGACTTCAATCTATTTCCTGCAGTGTTCAAATAGATTAATTTACTAAGGATGTTTCTATTTTTCATGACGTAAGATTCGCTTATGTTCCACAGACGGTAAATGTGATTGTAACTCATATCGAGCACAGATAATGTTGGGGTACCGCTAAACAGAATAGCAGGCAACAAATTGAAGTTATTATGAGACACATAGAGTTTGTGTAAATGTGGGTTATTGAAAAATATCTTGTTGTTAAGTCCGAAAAGTTTGTTTCTAGAAATATCTAATACTGTCAAATGGGGAATAGAGTAAAACGCTTTAGGCGGGATATGTCCAAGATGGTTACCACTGATGTTCAGTGTATCGATGAAAGGCATTCCCTTGAATGAATTCGGTGTGAGACTCGTAAGACCACATCCTGACAGATCTAAATTGTATAAGGAAGAGAATTCTGTTTGGAAACCTGGGAAACTAAACAAATCGTTGTTTCCGGCGAATGAGATTGTTTCAAGCTGACGATTAAATTCAAATAAAAAGGGGTCAAGAGGTCCTTGAATGTTGTTACGGCTCAAGTCCAAGTATCTAAGTGAACTCAAATCAGTAAAAGTATCTTTGTTAATGTCTGTAATTGCATTACCGCTCAGGTTGAGAGTGTAAATGTCTGGAAATCCAGCGAATGTATCTGCCAGGAGAGTTGTGAATTGGCAATCGCTTAAATCGAGTTCTTTTAAAGTTTCAATGTCAATTCCTTCTATTGTTTTGATTTTATTTCCCCTTAAAGAAAGGACTGTCAAGTCATCAATATCGGCGAAGGCGTCTTTGTCAATTTTCGATATGGAGTTGTCTCCAAGGTCGATGCTTTCCAGGTTGATCATCATTCCAAAAGTATCCGCATTGATTTCTGTCAGTTTGTTGTTGCGGAGGTCTAAAAACTCCAAGTTCTTCAAAGAGGCGAATACACCCGGTGGGATGTGGCCAATGTTGCAGTTAACAAGCAAGAGTTCAAGAACGGATTCAGAGTTCAGGAAGCTTTTTTGTTTCGGCTTCATTTGAATCGGGTTTCCGTTCAAGACTACATGCTTTAGCTTCTTATTATTTAAGAATGTGTCTGCATCTATCGTCGTCAAATTGTTGTTTGAAAGATCGACATGAGACAGTTTCTTCAACCCGTGGAAAGCATTGAAATGGACCTCCTTCAAACTGCTATTCGTTATCCTGATGGTCTCAAGTTCACGCAGGTTCGCATCGATGAAGATTCTATCGCCGAGGACAAGCCCATTGTCATGATGCTGATTCACAATGACCAGGTGATTCACTTCACTCTGGAATTGGACGGTCGGGTCGATTGTCGTACAGGTCGCAAAGATTTTGTTCAACCTCGAGGCCCTACATTTGCATTCCTGTGGGCACTGCAGTTCCACAGCACAGCAATAAGATGCAAATGCAATGAGCACTAGCAATTTGTAATCCATCAATCTGTAACAAAAAAGAAATAAAATCATATATCTTAATTCAGAAGTTAATAACAAACCAATGTTAAAACTAATAACTTTAAACTAAAAAAAAAGTTGTTAACAAAATCTATTGAAAGATTTAAAATTGTGAAATTTCCACAGCCTCAGCAAGATGGTGAGAATTTAGAAATTACTTTTAAAATGCCAGCACTTGTAATTTGTGAAATATTGTTTGGAAACTAGTGAAACATCTAAAATACCAAAAAAATTAAAAAAAGTAAGTGTTTTAACTGGTTTTAGATTTTCACCCTCCGGTTGAGGTGTGTTGTGAGTTGGAGAATTGATGTAACTAGATTTTATTTTTTTATTTTTTACAATGGATACCAGGAACTGGGAGGTCCCACTGAGCACTGTAGCTGTACAGCTTATTGTACTTTATTCCTGGCTCCATTTTTTTGGGAGCTCGCAATATGTGTGTGAATTGAGCCCCCAGCGTGCCAGTGTTCTTCCATCGAAGAAACTCATTTTTGAAGGGGCTTGGGACCAAATTCAGGGTTGTTGAAATCCGATCTCACCCCCATACCTTGCATTGATGAGTGCCGTGCCAATTTCTTTCAGTTGTGGCCACTGGTCCCCTTAGGTGTCTGAAAAAAAGTCAAGGCGACTGTTGGGATCAAACCCACGACCGCAGGATAGCCGAGAGTCTGTGCCTTAACCACTCAGATACCGCAGCCCCTAACTAGATCTTAGATACCTATCGGTTTGGAAATTTTACCCAATATGTAAAAAAACTTTCTAAAACTATTGAAACATCTAAAATATCAGAAAACTTCAAAAAATTAAGATCTGCAAGGTAATGTAGATTCAACTTCAATCATACTGGTCTGCCTGTTCTCATTTCGACATTTTGCCCACATCGGGATTATAAGCAGGGTGAGGCAAGACATCGACTCCATTTAAGTGAATTTTGCCTGTGTCAATCGATGTACAAGAAAGCCTTGTCCCCACCCTGCTTATAATCCTGACCAACCAATGAAGATTTATAGGAAATAAAGTCTTAAGATAACAAAACCAGGATGCTCAGAGTTACGATAAAAATATTTTCCTTGTTTTTTGTTATATTTGGATATTCGCTTTACCCAATATCTTTTGGTTAGTTAAACCTTGAAACATTCGTTTTTATTATGCTTAATTATTAAATCTAGTGAAGGTTTAGGTTGAATAAAAAAAAATGGATATTTTTAATCGAATTTTTTATTTTATTTTAAAGATCCGTCTGTTATATCGAATTTTGAAGTGATTCATTTATAATGCTATTATAAAAAGAGCATTTATAGTAAAATGTAAAGAAATGTAATGCACTCAATAATGAAAAGGGTCTAGAAGACAGGTGCAGCGTGAGGACGGGTCGCCAGGTGTAAAACGGGTTGCCGACCCAGCACATTTCTTATTAAAACAGGCACTTTCGAAAATTTAAGTTTGACAAATGTCCACTATATCAATTTATTTATTTATTCTTTTAGAAGAAAACATCGATCAGTACGACGTCGAGGCGTACAAAAAACGCGATAAAAGTACAGTATTCATCTCTCTAACAAGCAATTAATTGTTCAGAACAAAAGAATGGTTTAATCATCGGTATTTTATCTGTTTGTTTTTCTTATATCTAAAGATTGATTATCTTATACGAAAGTCATTGTTAAAACACCCAACCTTAAACGAAACGACAAATATGGAGCTGTGAACATTTTTATTTTCTCAACCATTTAAACCAAACACTTATATTTACCAAGTTTATTTCTTAAACCAAATATGAAAGGTTAATTTATTTTATACGTACACTTTCATACAGAGTGATTAACTCAGATGAATACTGAAAAATAATAACGCTAATGAAATAAAACCCTAAAATTCTAAACCAAATTGCAAAAACATCCAGAGCACCCATATTATTACATACATAATTTGCAAATTATGGAAGTAAAGGGTTTATTTCAAAGAAAGAAAACACACGGAGAGAGAGAGAGAGAGAGAGAGAGAGAGAGAGAGAGAGAGAGAGAGAGAAAGAGAAGAAGATGATGAGAAAGATAAAGAACGAATTATTTATAAATAACACAAGATTTGGTCTCTATTCTCAAGGATCATTCTTAAATCTAATGCTACAATGTACATCTAAGTTTATACAACTTCTAATTCATTAAACTTTTTTTTTAAATCCACGGTTCCTAGCAATTATTATCAAAGGTTGAAAAATCCCAAGTTCTCCTTGGTTGAAATATTTTATTTAATTTTGTCTATTACATTGACGTTTCGGGCTTACGGCTCATCATCGAATGGTACAATTGCCATCCGAAGACAAACATATAAGTAATTTACAATTTTTTATAAAAATTAAATTCCGTAAGTTCAAAACATTTAACAAGTTCAATAATTCCAGGTATATTTATTTTTATAAAAAATTGTAAATTACTTACATGTGTGTCTTCGGATGGCAATTGTACCATGAATTTTTCCGTGTTTAGGTGCTGATGACGGGCCGTAAGCCCGAAACGTCGATGTAATAGACAAAATTAAATAAAATATTTCAACCACGGAGAACTCGGTATTTTTCAATCTTTGGATAACATTAATTTTTTGAAATAATCTGGTTTTGTGGTCAATATGTACCTTTATTCGTTTTACATTGAACTCTGTACGTATTTACTTCATAATTGACAGAAATATTCTAGTTTAGGGGATAATTAAGCAATTAAAACGAAATCCTCTATCATAAATGGAAACTATCTTTCTAGCACATACTCTTTTTCCCAGACAACACGCACCCTTTTGCCTTAAAATTTTCAAAATTCAAATTTTCAGCGATATCAAACTACCTGGCGATGCTCAGCGTGAATGCACGGACCACTGACGCATACAGTGTTCTCTCTGTGTATCTATCGTCCTGTCCTCATTTGTTTCTTTTTTAATACTTCTTTCTCTTATGTTTGTTTTTCTTTCTTCTATGAGTATCTCTCTCTCTTTCTCTCTCGTTGCTCGTTAAATGTTAGAAAGTTCCATGAGACCTAATTTTGCGAGGTTTTATAAATAAAATGTTCAATTCTCTCTTTCTTTCTCTCTCTCTCCCTTTCTTAAAGATAAGCTTTTGAATGGTAAATTCGTTTAACTTAGAAATATAATAAAACAATATTCTCAGCTTAAACGCCGACAAATTGGTGTTCAAAATTTTCAAATAATCATTAACAATTTTATTGTTCTATTATTAACTTACGTTATACTAACACTGTGCGACGTTTACGGCAGGAGAAAATTGTACAATTGACAGTAAAATGCCACAAAGCGTAATTTTTTAAGAATGTTTTTGAACATAATAAAACATTGTAATAAAAAGAAACCTTTTTATGTAGAACAGCCTTTGAACTAAAGTAATCGCCTTTATTTGTTGATGTTATACGCGTATTTATTCACTTAGCAACGCAAGGGAATATTTTTTTCGATAAAACCAAATTGACACGAAAGATAAGATAAAAAGCTGGAATACCACGCAGCCCAGAGAAAGGAGCTCACATAAGAAAACATATGTAAAATTTAAATATCAAGCTTTTTTTAAATTTATTTTGTTTTATTAGGACTCGAACTTTTACAATTAGTTCTGAAGGGAAAGGGGCAATGGGCCACCCGTAGCCCGTTGGGAAAGTTAAACTATGCTCTCATAGGATCGGAATGCTATTCTCCTCCCAAAACGAGACAGACATACGGGCTTAGCGGGCCCGGTAGGGGGAGTAAAGATATATTCTAATATTTACTGCTTCTATCGTAACACAGGAAGTTTACTGTTCTTTTTAGTATCAGTCCACGGCGTGAAAGCACAAGGTTTGGTCTTTTCGATAACATATGCAAGAGAGGGCGGACAATTATGCGAACTTTCTGTTTCGCGAATTCCCCGAATCCTCATAACCAGTCTTGGTCTATTAAATTAAACTGCATATTTAAATAAAATGACTTCACCTCCTGGATTTAAACTGGCCACTTGGGCGAAAACGACTCGGATTTTTACAGGGTACACGCTAAGTGATCCAACATGTAAGATTGCTAGTTTCAATCCGAGCCGAACATACAAGAAGAATGGCGACTTTCTTGAGAAAACTCGTTATAATTACTTAAACTGCCATTACACCAGAAAATTATTCTGGAAATGCAACGCATTTGGCTCAACACTTATTCGATCAGAATAAAAGTGACGTACGGCAGATTAGACTGGAAGGACAAACCAAACAATGTACCCAGAATAATAGAATAAATAAAACAGGAATTCAGGAATAATAAAACAACGACTGAGAAGATAGATTACATATTAAAAAAAGAGCACAAACGGCTTAAATTTTTTTCTTCTTTTCTTACTTCTGAATACATGCCAGGAATATTGATTGTGATTACATCCTTAGCTTTACCAGGACTTTGTACAGAAATAAATTACTTTTTTAAATAATATTTTAACTCGTCTGTCAAGATTCCTACTATTGTTTTTGTTTATCTTTCATATTTACTTTCGCCATTTTGTTCTCTTTTTATATCGAACAAAGTTAACAGAATGTTATTTTTCTTTCTGCTTGTTGCTTTAGTTATATATATTATTTATGAACAGTTAAATTCACATATTTAATTAAATTATATGTCAAATATAATGAAGAAAAAAGGCCTTCAACTCCTGCAATCTATGGACGTTAGGATTCAAACGGCGGGTTAAAAGAGAAATGAAGTCCAAAAAGGCTTTAAACTTTAAAATGGAACTGAGCTGGTCATACAATACGGGACGACATCCAAAAGACAAAAAGAGTCGTACACTGTGCAACATGGATGAAGAATAGATCTGGAGGACGTCCAAAGGAGGAAAGACGGCTTCAAGAACTTTTTTAAAAGGAAGGTAGAAAGTTGGAGGCATTAGGATGGATAAGAAAGTATTGTCAACTTCGGAAGAGGCTTATTTCAAACTTTTATAATTAGCAACAATAATTATGTTATTTA